TAAATGACTTACCTACTAACGCGCTCAGGGTCAGCATTACCCTACCTACCTGCTGCCTTCGAGTTGATTCCGACTCATGGTGACCCTACAGGACAGAGTAGAACTGCCACATAGGATTTCCAAGACTGTAATCTTTACGGGAGCAGACTGCCACATCTTTCTCCTGAGGAGCGGCTGGTGGGTTTGAGCCATTGACCTTTCAGTTAACAGCTGAGCGGTTAACCCCTGCACGCCACCAAGGCTCCTGGGTCAGCATCCGATGATATGCAATTGTGATTCCTTTAAGCACATGTCCTTTGTATGTGTTTGCACCCAAACACAGGCAACACATTCACATGGATGAGGAAGTGAGGGGATACGTAGAGCTTCATGACAAATCATAATAATAATGGGTTGGCCAGGTGTTTTTGTTTTTTTCACTGAATGTTAACTGTATTTATTTCCTTTTAAAAAAATCTTTGAGTTATAATTCATATACTATCAACTGGACATACTTAGTGTACACTTTGATGAGTTTTGACATATATATACATTGTGAGCCATGCCTGGGTGGTGCAAGTGGTTAACCGCTTGGCTGCTAACTGAAAGGTTGGTGGTTCCAGTCCACCCAGAGGTGCCCTGGAAGAAAGGCCTGGCAATCTGCTTCTGAAAAATCAGCCATTGAAAACCCTACGGACACAGTTCTACTCTGACACATATGGGGTCGCCATGAGTCAGGGTGGACCCAACAGCAACTGGCGATGCACTTTGAAACCATCACAAGGAAACCAGGCATGCCCACCAACTCTAAGTGAGTTTCCTTGTGGGTGTGAGCAGTTGTCATCTTCAACCTGGCAGCCCTACTGGTTTTGATGAGAGTTGACCTCACCTAGAAGCCCAGGGCTTAACACATAGATCAGTATTTAACAAACCAAAAACATTCTCCCCAAAAGCCACCTTTTCCTTAGGGAGAAAAATAATCCCTCTGACCAACAAGAGTTGTGACTTCCAGTCTGACTCACCCTGAGTCCTGGAGCACATACTCGGGCTCTGATAAGAGGCAGTCAATCTCTCCTCTGTTTATCATGAGTCATGCTGGAAGTCAGGCAGCTACTTTTTTTCTCTCCCATGTCCGGGTTAGGCAAGAATCAGAGGCAGATACACCGCCATCAGAGTGCCGTTGTTGTTGCTGGGTGCCGTTGAATCGGTTCCGACTCACAGCAACCCTACGCGCAACAGAACCCCAGTCAGCCTTAAAGTATCCACTGATTCCGGTGGAGCTAGCGTCGGAAGCCTGACTCGATGGGGCCCCCTTCTGGTGGAGACAGGGAGCTCCGTGTCTTGGGGTTGAGGCTGGTCTTCCTTCCCACACCTCCAGGGCAGATCTTGGTGAGTTATAGCTTTGCAGAGCAATAGGAAGAAGCAGCTGAGTTTCCAGTACATCCTGTCCATCCTGGGGCGTGAGTCATAACTTTCAGCCTATGCCCACACTGGAGCAATTAACCACATAATTGCCTCAATGATGAACCTTCCCCCAGCTGCAATACGCCCCCATCGTAGGGCTCTGGGCTGTGAGCCAATCTTCTTCAGCTGTATGAATCGTGAAGGCCCAGGTCTAAAGAGCCAAAGTTGTGATTCTTCTAGCCAATGCTTTCTTGGCCTCGATTTAAAATTCCTACACACAAGTCCTAGTGGAAGCATGGGGGATGTTTAAACTTGAATTAGCGTCACGATCAAGTCAACATAAAATAGATTTATCTACTGTTTCAACGTATTGAGGCAAAGTGCTCTGTTTTGAGAACAAATCACCATAGCAACTCAGCCGGCCCAGTTACAGTAAGCTCAGAAGGACCAAAAATAAAAAGCCTCACCAAGTCTCAGGATGGGCTAGTGAGAGCCGCTCAACATCAACTTGCAGTTTATAGCCATCAGCCGGCATTTTTGGTTTGTTTGTTCCATAAATCGGTGAAGGGGATGCTTTACAGAATAATAAAACTCTTACAGAGGGGTTCTAGTCTATTCCCCTGCCAACTTAAAGCAAGCAGACTTCACTGCCAAGTATCAGGATTTTGTTATTATGACAGAGGGCTTCAGAAAAGGGCTCTTTTGTGTCCTCATTGCGGTTTGCTGGTTCCGTTCCAAGGTGGGGGTATGTGGTAATACAATGCTGGTCTTTAAGGAGAAGAAAAGCAATAGAAAAACAGGTTTTCTGTAGGTGTGAAAGGAAGAAAAACAGCCCCCCGCTCTGCTCCCCACGCTGCGTTTTGGTTCCATTAATTATCTGTTCTCTTTCTAGCATTTTCCTTCTCCCACTCCACTCTGCGCCTTTCTCCTGATCACCAACAAACAAATCCCCCTTGGACTTGCTGCTTGTCCCATTCTCCTTTTCTTCATCCTTGCTGTCCCCATGGCTCTCTCTCTATTACATCTTGAGGCCACCAGCTCTCACACCACTCCTTTGTAACTGATGTTGTGGGCCATTCCCTTGAAATTCTCTTCTGCTTTTCATTCTGGATGCTGCATGATTCAGATTCCTTTTCTTCTAATATTCTGTCTCTTGTCTTCCCAGGCCCTAAGTCTGGGCATATTCTAAAGTTGTTAGTCCTTTCCTGTCTTCGCCTTACCCACTTACCTACTGGACATCTTCACTTCTCACTTCCATGCAGACGTCTGCTACATCCTGAACTGAGACTGGCCCCTGACTACCAGCTATCTCAAAATCAACCTGGTCAAAACGGAATTTGTCCTTATCCCCAGCAAATTTATCCTTTTCCAGACTTTCTTTTTTCTGTTAACAGCATCATTTCTTAAGCCCAGGCTTAAAAGTTAGGTGCTATTTAGACTCTTCCTAGACATAAATTTCCATTGCTACATTCCATAGACTGTTCCTCTTTGATGCTGTTTCAATTTATGCCCTTTTTTCCATTTCCAAAGTTATAATCCTATATTCCGGCCTCATTACCTATTGCACAGATAGTTACAACAGCTTCTGAAATCCTCCCTTCTAGGTAGCAAGGAAGGTCCTGGGGTCGCACAAATGGCTTTGTGCTCGGCTACCAACTGGAAGGTTAGCAGTTGGAACCTACCCAGTGGTGCCGTGGAAGAAAGATCTGGTGATCTGCTTCTGTAAAGATTATAGCCAAGAAAACCCTATGCAGCAGTTTTACTCTGTAACACATGGGGTCTCCATGAATTGGAATCAACTCTACGGCAAAGGGTTCAGTTTTGGTTTTAGGTAGCAAGGTATGATGGAAAGAAAATGGACTCTGGAGTTGGAATCCCACCTTTGTCATTTATTTCCTGTGTGACCTTAACTTCTTAACCTGGCAGCGTCTTACTTTCCTCATCTTCCAGGAGGTATAACCCCTCCCTCATAAAGAGGTTAACATCCATAAAGTATCCAGCAGAGTATCCGCACACTGTAAGTGCTCAGTTAATATTAGTTCCTTTTTATTTCAAACTCACTTCTGCCAGACCAAAGTCTAAAAACAGACTTCTTGGTCACATCTGTCCCTTACTTAAAAACCTTCATTTTTCTACTGAAATAAGAACAAATTCCTCCATCTAGCACTCACAGATCTCCCACAAGATGGCCCCAACGTATTATACTTACTACTCTAGGGTCCCCGATCTTTCTTTAAACACCACATTCTATTTCCCATCTGCTTCTTTGCTAAAGCTGCAGCCTTGGACTGAGATGCACGTTCCTCATCTCTATTGAAATCCTAGCCATTCAAGACTCATTTCAAATTCTACCTCCTCCATGAGGCCGTTCCTGACCCCTACACCTGGATGTGGCCTCCTCCCTCTGACCTCCCAGTACTTAAACTTCTCTTGTCACATTTTTAAGGAGCCCTGGTGGTACAGTGGTTAAGTGCTTGGCTGCCAACCAAAAGGTCAGCGGTTCAAACCCACCAGCTGCCCTGCAGCAGAAAGATGTGGCAGTCTGTGCCTCTGTAAAGATTACAGCCTCAGAACCCTATGGGGCAGTTCTCTGTCACTATGAGTTGGAATTGACTTGATGACAAACGGTTTTGTGGCATTATTCTACTTGCTCATTTTCTGCTTTTGACTTCTCTTTGCTGTAAGACTGAATACCCCTTGATGGTATACTGTACACTGTTATAGCATCCGACCCAGACAGCCCTCTGTGCTACGCAATAATGCACTACACTGAGCACGCGGCTGGCCAGTCACGCCTCTCTCAGTCTACGAAACTACCTTCTCTCCTAAACTTCTGTTGGGCGGCACCCTTCCCAGAAACTAAGTGGCTCAGGGAGGCAAATCTCTTACACAGTGCAGAGTACACGTCAAATTCTGTAACGATAATCATAATGACAGGAAAAGGTCCCCATCATCTCAAATATGCTGTGCCACCACTTCCTAACACCCGGTTTGTTTACTGTATCAAGAATCCTAGAAAACCTCGTTTGAAATCATGGTTGATTTTGTTTACTTTTCCTTCCAGGCTTCAGGAAGCAGTGTCCTTCTCATGTAGCAACAGCTGAGTCACACAAATGGATCCCTGGCAATATCTGAAATTCTTCCTCTTCCTCATTCATGAAACAGTCTCTTTGATAGTCAATGGGGACACAGAGAAGGAGCTCAGATGAAACGTTTTGTAAATGAGCTTTTGTAAACAGGATGAGAAATAAAGGTCCGCTGAGCAATATGCCAGCATCTGAAAATGAGTCTAGTTGTTCAAATTAGTATTTTATCAATTTATAGTTCTTAATATTAACATCTTAGAATCAAATTACGGTTCTTATATATATATATGTAAGCATGTGTGTATGTGTGTGCACACACACAGACACACAATCCGTCTACTTTACAAGGCTGAACTTTAGGATGTGTTGTAGCTGTTGCTAGTTGCTGAGTAGACCCGGACTCATGGTGACCCCATGTGTCAGAGAAGAACTGCTCCACAGGGTTTCCAAGGCTGTGACCTTTAGGAAGCAGATCATCAGGCCTGTCTTCCAAGGCACCTCTGGGTGGGTTTGAAACTCTGACCTGTCAGCTAGTAGTAGAGTGCTTAACCATTTGTGCCACCCAGGGACTCCCTTTTGGATGTTTGAGACTGGAAATATAGATTTAACCTTATACGGGAGCTCATGCTGGCAATACTATTAATTTTCAAAAAATTACAAATATGACTCTCATATAAATGTAAAAAAGAAAGTCAAATTTTATTCAACTTAATTAATGAGGAAACCAGTAAGATGTTAAAATTGGTTCAAAAGACAATCTGAGGATGTGGAGATTTATGGTTGGCCAGTCGAAGGAATGCAGAAATAAATTTGCTAATAAAGGTTAAACTGGTTCATGCCCCCCTAGGCAATAACCTTGGCACTGCTACTGGACAAGAATCACCGTTGTTGGTATCCGCTTTCTACAAGGTAACTTCTGTTCTTAGAGAGTTGTGAAGCAGACTTCTTCCTCGTCAGAAAAGGGTGGAAACCCCTAGACAGTGAGACAGTCCCCAGGCGGTGAAGGCTACAACATCCAGCACTACACAGAAACAGCACTCAGTATTCACTCACCTGTTTCCACGTTTTGCGTTCTTGCTCTTGACGCTGATATCTAAGAGGCATGAAAACAAACCAATTTGCTTTATGACATATTTGTAATTAGATATATCAAACTACAGTCCCCCGACATTCCTCAAGGGCTCTGGAGTCAGACTGCTTGGGCTCCACCGTTTACTACTGGGTGAATCTGGGCAAGTTATCTAACCTCTCCGTGCCTCCATTTCATCACTGTGACACAGGACAGTAACAGCACCTACCTTAGGCTTTGTTACGAGGATTAAATAATGCAGAAGTGCTCAATAAATGGGTTATATTACTACTACTAAGAAAGGGTTCGTTATTCTACCGAAAGTCTTTACGTAAGACATTAAAACATTTTGAGAAATAACCTTACACCTTGTTAAAAAGGGAATCAGTTCTACATTTAAAGCAGCAGAAATATCTAAATCATTGAAATGAGCCAATTAGCGAGCTAATAATTAAACTTGTTTAAGAGATTACAATAAAATTCCAGATGTGTCGAAAGGATCATTCACTTCTTCCACCTCTGACATCAAGGAAACAAAGATGCATGAGGTGGGGGGCGGGCGGCAGGGACTAACCTTTGTTAAGATGTCTCAGGCACTGTGCCTACCCATACTCATTACATACCAACAAGTGAGTATTTTCAGAAGAAGAATCTCCAACCCCCCTTACAAAATGAAAAGCAGTAAAGGAAAACAACCCAAAGAAAAATACACCGAAGCCTTAGAAAATGCATTATCAAGAAAGTCAAACGTCAAAAGTAGGGGTTCAAAGTGCATTTCAACTTTAATAATTTATTCTGCATAACAGAAAAAGAAAAAAATCAAATACTCTCTGAATTTCAAATTATATTTACCAACACATTGCTGTTAATCTACGGCCTTTCACTACACATTATTTGCACTTTGCCCACCAAATGTTAAGGAAAATATTGAATATCCATTTTCTTAAAAACACACATACACAACTGTTACAACTGATACAAATCAGTTGTGTCTCCCTCCCACCCAAATTTTGACCTAAATACCCTTAACTTAAAAAACGTAGTGGTGTAGGCCACCAAAATCCCAATTACGAGATGGGAAATTAAGTGCTGAAGTTCAGAATTGGACAGGAAACAGCTACAAATCAAAACAGAAAGCAACAGAATAAAGACAAATGACACTCATATTAAATAAAGCCTGCATGAATTTTCATATATTTGAGCCTCAGAAAAAGAATTTTCCTAGAATGTCGGGTTTTCTAGGTTAAACTGAACACAAAAGGGAATTTCCCTAAAGTTTTCTGAGCCAAAGGAAAATCAAGTTATGCTTGAAAACAAAGACCAGTGACGTCTGCCTCCCTCCCCGTTCCTTCTTCAGATTTGCTTTCGTGTAGGTTTTCACGCTGAAGGCCATTTATTAATTCTATGCTTTATAACCTCAACATGACCAAATCTAGACTTAACCCTCTACGTCCCAATGGGCTGAGGAATTAGACAATTATTTTCAGTCCCTCATGAGCTGGGAAGCTGCATCCTGCATGTACTCAGACAGACGTACACATTTAGTTCACAAAGCCTCAAACTGAAAAAACAGTAATTGCCAAAAGGACATTGTTTATTGCCACCATTACAAAGGATTTCTTCTTGTATAATTTTAAGATAAATAACATGATTTAAACAAGTAAAATCGAAAATGATTTCACACAATATTTCATATGTTCAATTTTTTTATGCAAAAAACTTGTAAAATAGAACAATAATGTTGGTCTAGCTTTTAAAAAAGGTTTTAAGAAACCTAAAAATGAAGTCTTAAGTTAGATGATAGTTTAAAAGAAAAAAGCAAAGTTAGCAAAATGATGCTAGAAAAGGTAATACATTAATTCTGCAACTGTGTGCACTTCTAGCTCCTTAACCAGATTCTTAGATTGAAAAAACTTGCAAAAAAATTTTATAAAATACTTGATGAATGTATTTAAAACTTTCCACAACTGGAATACGCTGGGATACATTTATTTAGTTGGAAGAGAGCCTGTGACCCATAATGACCATTTTAGAGTTCACGAGAAAGTCTCTTTCATAATTGAACTGCACGTGAACTAGCGAATCTGTCCTCAGGTGACCATTAGAGACAACAGCAAGCAGAAGAATTCCCGAGCCAAGGACCAGGAGTACTAAATACAACTGAGACTGTTAACTATGTTGCACTAGATAACAAGGACTGTTTAAAATGGTAGCTTTAAGAAGAAACTGCTTTTGAAAACTTAACGTGGAATGAAATTCTTATCAAAGAATGTGCAGTTTAAGATTTCCCTTTCATATATGGAATTATACAAGGCAGGTGGAATTATACAAGAAAAAACCAGAAGTTACATACCACAAGCAGAAATGCTAGAAAAGAGTGAAAAAAATTATAATAGCTATCATTACCATTTGAAGTGGTATGTCTATTTTAATGTATTTTTAACTATGATTGAACTCTTCAACCAATACCAAAGTGAAGGTTAAGATTTGTACTCTACATTTCTGTTTTCTATTCTAGAGGATACATTTTTAATTTTGGGATAAAATTAGGAGCCCAGATCTTTATTGTGCCTTAAACTGATTTTTGTTTCTTGTCCTCTGCCCTACTCTCCAAATTACCTTGCAGAGTTCTCTATTAATCAATACGGTTAGTGACACTCCTGAATTCACTCCTGCAAGTATCCTTGTACAGAGTTCAAAAACCCATAAACACGGTTCAATACTAATAACCAAGATGCTGATATGAGAGAAAGAGTTTGGAAATGACAGTTAAAAGTACTTTTGTTAAAGTTACAGACAAGTGTGAGCTACGTGGGCCACTGCATATTTTAAATATACCAAGTGGGACAAACAAAAAAATGGCTGACATGGATGAAAAGTTAAACTGGGATATGGCTAGCAGGACTGATGTCTTCATCAGCTCTTGAGGTAGAAAATTTACTGATTTCTAAAGAAGTGAATTGCTTAAATTAATAATGTTTAAATATAAAAGTTTTAAAATTGCCCAAAGATGCTATGAATGTCCTGTACGTATACTTCAGTAAAAGGCTAAACTAAATCACTCAGGAGAAGGTTTAGAATGAGATTTTCTTTATGGAAGCTTTTTATACTTTCTATGCATTGATCTTCCATTTGCTTACAATCCTTTTATCACAACTCAAGGAAGGAAAATCCAACCTTAACAGCTCTGTGGGCCACTCTGGGCCACTCACTGGCTCACATTCGAGCCCTCCTGCAGAGAGGGAACGTGAGAAGTGGAGAACCAGAGAGAGGATGAGCTTGTGTTGTGTTTCCAGGGGACACAATGCTGGTGGTCTTAGGACAGGGGGTGAGAAGTTGGGAAAAGAGGAAGTCTTAAAGAGATGCCCTAACTAGCCATTTGGGCTTAGAGATCTCTGTGAATTTTAGGAGGTTGGCTATCTGTAAAAACTGAGAATTCTAAAGGCTCCTTCATCCACACCATCAAATTTTATAAACAGGTAATTTATGTTTAAAAATACTGATTTTGAACAATCAAGTTATAATACACGCTACATATACTCAAGTGATTAGAAAACCAAGGAGCTAGTTGTAGAGGTGGCTGTTTTAAATTATTAGGAGGAAGTCCCCAGGAATTTTTCTAAGAGGCAGACAGGTGGAAGAAACATGGAGATGAGGGAAATGTGGGGGAGAGAACTAGCCAGGGGCTGCAGAAAGATGTTTCCTTCTCCGTGTCCACAGGCCCCTCTGTAGGCAGAGGGTGAGAACATGATTGCACACTTTACCAGTGTGTTTAAGAAACACACATTTCTGCTTGTTTCAAAAATGGTTCTCTATAAATACTTGTAGAAACTCAACCTGGTGCTGACACACATCATTTTAAAATTGATTATACTACAACCAGGCATACACACTGCAGGGAGGGACGAGAGCAGACATGGGAAAGTTAAAATGCTGCAAAGTTCAGAGAGGACTCTTGGCTTCTGTTCCACTGACCTAGGCAACAGACCGCACGATCATTGCAAGCACTGGAAAGGAATGAAAGACTGAGCTAACAATTAATCATGACCTATACTGGCTGGCAAAGAGCCGTTAGAAAGCAATCATGGGATATGAAAACAGCTGCTATTGTTCATTTTTTCATTTTCCCTTTAGATACAACTTCTGCATACGAGGTGTGAATGAAGTCATAAAGCTGCTTAGCATTTGCAGCATTCCCCAGAATACTCGTGAGCTTGTCTTGGGCGAGGGTTGCCAACTCCGCAATGTTCTTAACGTGGTTCATCAAGGAGCGACAGTTCTTGGCATTCACCCCTGGCATTTTCAACAAGAAGTCCTGGGGACCAGGATTATACTTCTCTGACTCGGGGAGGGTCTCGGAGTCTGCTGTGATGGCCATGGCCGTTGCTGCATCAGGCTGTGGCTTATTTTGTTTCAGCTCCTCAAACAACTCTGCAGTTGCGTGAGGGGAAGGGCACCAAAGAATCCGCAGTCTGGGGAAGTGCAGAGTAAGAAGGGTGAGTTTGGAACTGATGTCATTGCTGGAGATCTCCTGATATAAGGCACCTCGGGACGTGAGAGAGAAAGGCTTACTGGGGTCAAACTCAATCAGGAGCACCGGTCGCTTATAATAGCGGGACATGGAGATGCACTGGCTATAGAGGCGGCCGTTATTTAAGGAGCCAATCAGATCACTGATGCTCTTGCGCTCCACGCACATTTCTGGAGTCAGAATGTAATCTCCAACCTCCAAAGTCACTGGTTCAATGTCAATACCCCGACGATGGATCAGAGATGGCAGCTCACTTCGAAATTCACGCATATCTACAACTATACTTTGCTGTGTACCACTCTGTTCCTGGCCACCTATGGAGAAAAAGTAGCATTTTAAGTAATGTCACTGAGGGAGAACGCTCAAACAATGGGATATAACGAGGTTTAAAATCTATGTTTCCTTAACAACAAAAAGACAAACAACCCAACTGAATAATGGGCAAAAGACTCGAACAGACGTTTCTCCAAAGGATACACAAATGGCCGACAAGCATATGAAAAGGTGTTCAGTGTCACTGGTCATTAGCGAGATGCAAATCAGAACCTCAGTGAGATACCACTTCACACCCACTAGGATTGCTATGATGAAAAAAACAAACAAAAAAACTGGAAAACAGCAGGTGTTGGCAAGGATGCAGAGAAATTAGAACCCTCATCCACTGCTGGTGGAATGCAAAATGGTACAGCTGCTGTGGAAAAGTTTGGCATTTCCAAAAAGTTAAACATGGAATTACCATGTGATTCCAGCAAATCCCAATCCTATCTATATATCCAAAAGAATTGAAAGCAAGGACTCAAAAAGATACCTGCGTAATAATGTTCACTGCAGCACTATTCACAATAGTCAAAAGGTGAAAACAACCTAAATATCCATCAAAGATGAATGGATAATCAAAATGTGGTACATACATACAACGGAATACTACTCAGCCAAAAAGAGAAATGAAATCCTAATACATGCTACAACACGGATGAACCCTGAAAACATTATACTGAGGGAAGTCAGTCATACAAAGACAAATACTGCATGATCCCACTTATAAGAAGTAGGCAAATGTATAGAGACCAAAGTTGATTAATGGTTACCAGGCGTAGGAAGGAGGAGGGAAGGGGGGTCACTGCTTAGGAGGCACTGAGTTTCTGTGAATGTTGGTGGAATAATCTGGAAAAGGATAGTGGTGATGGTTGACGATGAATGTAATTTAATGTCACCGAATTATACATGTGAAAAGTGTTGAATTGGCAAATGTTTTGTTATATATATTTCTTACCATAATTTAAAAGAAAGCTAAGTTTCTGTTGTTAACTTTGGATTATATCTGATGAAGGTCGAATATACAAAATATATATAAAACTTCTACAACTTAACAAAAAGACAAACAACCCAATTAAAAAGTGGGCAGAAGACTTAAACAGACATTTCACCAAAGAGGACATTCAAATGGCCAATAAGCACATGAAAAGATGCTCAATGTCATTAGTCTTTGCTGTTATTATGTGTCATCGAATCGATTCCGACTCACAGCGACTCTATAGAACAGACAGAGTGGAACTACCCGTAGGTTTTCCTAAGTTGTAATCTTTACGCGAGTAGATCACCAACCTCTCAGTTAGCAGCCAAGTGCTTAACCATTGTGCTAGGGAGATACAAATCAAAACCACCATAAAACACTTTACTTCCACTAGAATGGCTATGATCAAAAAAGCAAAAAATAACAGGTATTGGTGAGGATGTGGAGAAACAGGAACCCTCATCTGTTGCTGGTGGAAATGTAAAACATTTCCATGGAAAACAGTTTAGTGGTTCCTCAAGAAGTTCAACACAGAACTACCATAGGACCCAGCAATCCCAGTTCTAGGTATGTACCCAGAAGAAGTGAAAGCAGTAACGCAAACTTCTAGAAATCTGTACACCAATATTCACTGCAGCACTTCTCACAAAAGCCAAAAGGCAGAAACAATCGAAATGTCCATCAACAGATAAGTGGACAAACAAAATCTGGTATATAAACACAATGAAATACTACACGGCTATAAAGAGAGATGACATTCTGATGCACGCCACAACACACGTGAACCCTGAAAACATCATGCTGAGTGAAATAAGTCAGTCGCAAAAGGACAAATATTATATGATCTCACTTATACGAAATAACCAAATATATCGAAACCCAAGATTATTAATGGTTACCAGGGGAGGGAGGGAGAGAGGGGAGCTTTTGCTTAGGAGGCACTGAGTTTAATATAATGGTGGTGGGAATGATTTGGAAAAGGATAGCGAGAATGGCTGCACAACTTAAGAGAATGTAATCAGTGTCACTGACTGTACATGGCAGTATGTTTTGTTATGTATATTTCACCACAATAAGATTTTTTTTTTTTTTTAAAGTACATTCTGAATCTCAACCAATCAAGTGTAAAAGTGACTTTGGAACACCACTCATTTCTAAACTGTAGTACCCATAACGAAATTCTACTTACTTTACAAATGACGAGCCTTAGACCCAGGGAGGACATATGGTTAGTAAATGGCAGAATGGAGACTAGAGCATGGGAGCAAATGTCCTATCCTGGGTCTATCATCCAACCTTAAGAGTCTGTTGAGAAAAATTAAGCCCCTGCAAAGTACCTCTGGAACCTCACAGTTCTTCTTTGCGGGCAACGCAAGCGCTGGATAGAGGATGGGACTCACCTGCCTTCCGAGTGTCGGTGGAGACGTTTGTTGATGTGCTGCCTCTTGCCAAGTCTAGGTTGGTTTCATCTCTGCCTTCTCTTTCTTCAGGGATTACCATGCTAGCCTTTTCCCTGGGGGAGAAAAACATTTAAAACATTTCTTGAACTAATTTCAAAATTTCAGATTTTAATCTTTTGTAAATTCTAATGTATAAGATGATGTCCAGAACCGTTGTGGCAAAGGAGAGTATGAAATACATTAAAAGTAAAGCCGCACAGACAAGTGATGGGTAAAGGAAGCTGAGATCATTTCTTGGTTGGGTACTACTTTCTGAACTTCAGAATTAAAAAAGACGTTATTTTCTATTCTATACATCAAGCACTTTGAGACATGAAATAAGCATGTAAAAAATGCCATACAGAGATTGAGACTATTTATAAGACTAAAGAATTATTGAGATTAAAAGATAATTTAAGTCATTCACATTGAAATATTTCCAGGCCAATCACAAATAAGGATGGTTAAAAATCAATGATTAAAAAATAGAAACACATATACAAAAGAACTTCGATATAAAGAATTTCAGGTGGGAGGCCCCATTACCCTCCCTAGTTGCCACTGAGTTGATTCCGACCCACATCAACCATATAGGAGGCCCCATTAAACACTCAATTTTAAAGGAAAAGCAAAGTTAATACAAGAAACCAAATTTCCATCACAGATTTAAAACGAAAATCCCTGTCACAGGTCATGCCTTAGGAGCACCCTTCATTCACTTACTCTTGTATTTTTAAAAAACGTTTACAAGTGCTAGCGTATGCCGAACTGGGTACTCGGGACAGAAATATGATGGTGCACTAATTCCTGTCTTCCAGGTAGCTCCGTATCTTACACTTTGTGGATCTACCTTATGAGCACAGCTACAATCATGACAACATCCTCAACGGTCAAAGAAAGAGCAAGTCAGGGTTGCTACAGTCCCACTTTTCAAAACCAGGAATGTAAGAGATAATTAATGAATCAGCAAATACTATGGGACAGCAAGAATCCAATCTGCTCCGTACGACAGAAAAGATGTGTAAGGCGGGGTCTCTTCTTTTGGGGAGCTTGCTGAGTTGAGGAAACAACGCAACCATGAACAAGACTGTGGAGCTGACTGACTGCAACAAGGGATATGAGGGAAGGTGAAATAGGAGAGGAGGAGTCTTCAATATTAACTAATTTCGACAAGGGTTTATACAACGAACAATCTTCCCGCTCAAGGAAATGAAACCAGTTGACCCAATTCTCCAACCATTCTGGATAAAAGACGTCTTAGAGCAATTTAGAGATACTACTAAAGAACAGATGTATAATTTTTCTATTCTATACAATTCCAACAATATACAAACGCAAAGGTATTATTAGTACAACATTTTTTAAACAGATCCCAAGGGGCCAAACAATAGCACTAGTTCCCATTTTCCCCTCATTATTCTCAATACCAGTGTCAAGTGTTAACTGCTGAAAAATTCTTTTCAGTGGCAGTGGCTCTGGCAGCCACTCATTACTGCTCCATTACATTTACTACACTCTACCTGGACGGAGCCCTGGTGGCGCAGTGGTTAAGCGCTTGGCTGGTAACTGAAAGGTCGGCGGTTCAAACCCACCAGCTACTCTGCGGGAGAGAGATGTGGCAGTCTGCTTCCATAAAGATTACAGCCTTGGAAACCCTAGGAGGCAGTTCTACTACGTGTCCTACAGGGTAGCTATGAGTTGGAATTGACTCGATGGCAACAGGTTTGGTTTTTTTTTTTACTCTATGTGATAGATGCAAAATAATAATTTAAAAATTCAGATCCATATTTCCACCTAATCCAAAGTACTGAGGTTTCCTGGTTTTGCTTTAACATCTTCAATGGTATCTGCATAACCTGAACAACATGATGATATAGCAAGGATGTGCTGAACTAGAAGTCTCCTCAAATGGGCATTTCTTCAAGCTCTCACACTAACCCATCTGCAACCATATTTTCTAACTGTAAAATTTCAAGTAATCTTGCCCCTTTCCTTTGAAAAACCGTGACCTCCTCCAAACTATGTACACTGAGAAAGCTATTATGAATTTTCCTACCCAGGTAGCATTTGATTATCCATACTTACAAGTGTAATCTTTCTGCTCCTATTTGTCATCTGCAATCTACTGATCTTTCACTGCCAGACAGCCTGATCCGCTCCTTTCTGGTTGTTTTAAATAGCAGCACTGCTTTTGTTTCTTACATCACCACCCACAGAGGTCCTGGCAAACAGCACGTTTTCTTATTCTCCCATTGAACTTTTCTCTGAGTATGGGCTCAGTGCGAATGTTCTTACAGCAACGCACTCTCAAATTCCCCAAGTTTTCTGGGAGAGTACAAATCTTAAAGACTCTAGCAAGTGTAACCATCTGACTGCTGTGCAAAATGGGAAGATCTAAACTATAATAAGTAGAAAATCATCTTTGAAAGAGTTTAGAAAATTAGGCCAGACCATAGATAAATTTACAATAAAATCTGGTGTGGACATTATTGTACGATTTAAATGAGGGAGAGTCCATGTCTTGGTTTCTTAGTGCTGCTATAAGAGAAATACCACAAGTAGGTAGCTTTAATGAACAGAAAATTTATTTTCTCACAGTTTAGGAGGCTAGAAGTCCAAATTCAGGGTGCCAGCTCTAGAAGGCTGGCTCTCTCTCTCTGTCCGCTCTGGGGAAGGTCCTTGTCTCTCTTCAGCTTCTATTCCTAGGTTCCTTGGCAATCATATGACGTGTATCTTCCCCTCCGTTCGTGCTTGCTTGTTAGCTTGCTTTAATCTGCTGTTTTATATCTCAAAAGAGACTGATATAAGATACACCCTACATTAATAAGAGCCCTGGTGGTACAATGGTTAAATGCTCAGCTGCCAACTGAAAGGTCAGTGGTTTGATCCCACCAGTCGCTCTGTGGGAGAAAGATGTGGCAGTCTGCTTCCATAAAGATTTATAGCTTTGGAAACCCTATGGGGCAGTTTTACTTTGTCCTATATGGTTGCTATGAGTCAAACTGACTGGATGGCAATGGGTCTACACTAATATTGCCTCATTAACATAACACAGAAAACCCATTCCCAAATGAGACTGTAACTTCAGGTACACCAAAACCCAACCTGTTGCCATTGAGTCAATTCTGACTCTTAGCAACCCTATATGGGTTAGGATTTACAACACGTATTTCTGTCAACTTATCAATGCATCAACTTGGCTAGGCCATGATTTCCAGTACCGTGTGGTTGTCCACCATTTTGTGATCTGATGTGATTGCTCTGTGTGTTGTAAATCCTAACCTCTACAATATTAATGAGGCAGAATTAGAGGCAGTTATGTTACTGAGGCAGGACACAATCAATCTAAAGGATGAGGTTGTATCTTGAGTCAATTTCTTTTGAGATAGAAAGAAGTGAGTAGTGAGGGGAGGGACCTCATTTACCACCAAGCAAAAAGAGCCAGGAGTGAAGCACGTCCTTTGGACCTGGGGTCCCTGTGCTGAGAAGCTTCTAGACCAGGGAAGATCGATGACAAGGACTTTCCCCTAGGGCCAATAGAGAGAGAAAGCCTTCCCCTGGAGCTGGCACCGAGTTTGGACTTGTAGCCTCCCAGATTGTTAAAGAGAATAAATTTCTGTTTGATAAAGCCATCCATTTGTTGTATTTCTGTTATTGCAGCACTAGATAACTAAGACAATTCATAACAGTCCATATTTCAGGTTTTGCTGAGTCAGATTTCCAGTGTGTAATGGGCTCATCCACACCTTGTCATTGATCCCTTTGGTGTGTAGAATCACTGGCATAAACCAAGAATAGCATGGGTTACCCAATACCTTGCTACAATCTACTGTAAGTACCCTTTTCTAGATTGTTGTTGTATTGTTGTGTGCCATCTAGTCGATTCTGACTCATAGCAACCCTGTAAGACAGAGCAGAACTGCCTCATAGGGTTTCCTAGGCTGTAATCTTTATGGGAGCAGATCACCAGGTCTTTTTTCCCATGGAGTCACCTGTGGGTTCAAACCACCGACCTTTGGCTAGCAGCCGAGCACTTAACCACTGTGCCACCACAGCTCCTTACGTTCCCTGATAATACTGGAAAAGGGGCAGTTGCATGAAGAAAGCCTGGAGCAAAAAAACACCTACTCAGGTGACCTATCGTACTCCTGACATTCTACTAGTGTCCTTCCCTATAACACCAATAACCTCATCTGAATGCTTTAGTTCTATGTGCTTATTTGTGACTTATCTGTGACAAATAACAATTACTTTATTAAAGAAACCTGAAGCAAAGAATGCTCTAAAAAGAGTGAAGAATTGGCTAGGAAGTACTGGCCCACAACCAGCATAACCAGTTCTTTGATTCTATCCTCTAAATCTCTCTCAAATCTGTCCACTTCTCTCCATCAGCCTATTCTTGGCTACCATCATCTCTTATCAGACAACTGCAGAAGCCTTCAAACTAGTGTCCCTGCTCCATCCACTCCTCAGTCTGATGCCAGAGACAGCCTTTCAAAATATGTTCCTGTTGTTAATTGCTGTTGAGATGGCCCTGACTCACGGTGACCCCACGTACAACAGAACAAAACATTGACCAGTCCTGGACCATCTTCACGATCGTTGGTATGCTTGAGTCTACTGTTGTGGCCACTGTGTGTGTTGAGTGCCTTCCAACCTAGGGTTTCATCTCCCAGCACTATATTGGATGATATTCTGTTGTGATCCACAGGGCTTTCATTGGCTAATTTTCAGAAGTATATTGTCAGGGCTTTCTTCCTAGTCTGCCAACTTTTTCAGAAGTAGACTGCCAGGTCCTTCTTCCTAGTCTCTTACTCTAGAAGCTCGGCTAAACCTGTCCACCACGGATGACCCTGCTGGTATTTGAAATACTGGTGGCAAAGCTTCCAGCATCATAGCCACATGCAAGCCACCACAAATCAACAAAACTTACGTGTGGATGGTGGTTTAAAAATATACTTACTTTCCTGCTTCAAATACTTCAATACTGTCTTCCTGCCTTTAGAATAAAATTCTAAATTCTTAACAGGGTCTGTTGTACCTCTGAGCCTTCACATATGCTGTTTCTTAACATAACCCTCTTTTCCTCCCCATCTGCCTAGTAACTCCCATCATTTTTCATGTGTCAGCTTAACTATCACTTCCTCAGTGAAGCCGTCCCTCATGCCCCCAACTGGGCTAGGCGTGTCTGACATTGTCTCCTAACACACCCTTTACTTTGACCTCTGCAGCTGGCTGCACTCTGCACAGTTTATTACCATTGTCATGGATTGAACTGTGTCCCCCCAAAAATGTGTGTAGCAACCTGGCTAGGTCATGATTCCCAGTATTGTATGACTGTGTAATCGGATGTGATTTCCTTATGTGTTGGAAACTCTATCACTATGATGAAGTTATACGTGATCTCCTTACGTGTTGTAAATTCTATCACTGTGATGAGGTTACGCTGAAGAGGTTTACAAGATTATATAGTGTCTTAATCCAATCTTTTTCTTGAGATATAAAAGAGAGAAGCGAGCAGAGACACATGGGAACCTCACACTACCAAGAAAGCAGTGCCAGGAGCAGAGCGCGTCCTTTGGACTTGAGGTTCCTGTGCAGAGAAGCTCCCAGACCAAGGGAAGACTGATGGATCACAAGGACCTTTCTCCAGAGCCAAGAGAGAAGACAAAGCCCTCCCCTGGAGCTGATGCCTTGAGTTTGGACTTCTAGCCTACTAGACTGTGAGAAAATAAATTTCTCTTTGTGAAAGCCATCCACTTGTGGTTATTTCTTTTAGAGCAGCACTAGATGACTAAGACAATCATATTTATAAATGCTGAATGTCTGTCTTTCCACTAAAAGATAAGCTCCAGGAGGGCAGGCTTTCTCTGCATCAGCATAACCTTAGCATTTTAGTATCAGCACAGGGCTCAGCACATAATAGATCCTCAATAAATATCTGTTGACTGTTTGAGCCTTGCGGGAATGAAGGTCTAGAAGACACGGATGGATTAAGACATAGCAGTGGTAAGCTCTGAGGAAGAAGAGGTAGCCTGTGTAACACCTGGTTTGTTGTAGCAGTATTTCTGAAATTAAAAAAATAAATAAATAAACACACACGTAAACTATATGTATGTATATAAACATATACATATACATACACATAAACAGGAGTCCCTGGGTAGAGCAAACAGTTAGGTGCTCGACTGCTAGCCGAAAAGCTGGTGGTTTGAACCCAGTCAGAGGCGCCTCGAAGACATGCTTGGCAATCTGCTTCCGAAAGGTCACGGCCTTGAAAATGCTATGGAGCAGTTCTACTCTGTATATACGGGGTCACCATGAGTCAGAATTAACTCGATGGTTAACAACATCAACAACATATATATAAACAATCCCTCAGAACATTAATAGAAAGTGTATTTTCACAGCAGGCTGAGAGAACTGACTAATAAGTATATGACTACTAGCTGGAAGAGTTCATGGCCAAGGTATGCCACAGCTTTAGAGGACTGAAGGGAAGGGAAGGGTACCGCCCATGTACCAAGCCAAGTCCCTCCACAGGGACTCAGTGATGCTGAGTCAGTAAACACCTGTTTCCAGAGACGCATACCCTGGACCTGCCAGGGTATGTGTATATTTTAAGCATATACTGAGAACCCACAGCTAGCGTTGGAGGATGGGCCTTGTCTAGGGCCTTGGTAGGCTGACTGCCACTAAAAATAATTTCTGCCCTCTTGTTGCCACTGATACATTGCCAACGTCTGAGGCCTGGAAGACTGGTCTGGCCCCATCCCTCAGTCCAGGCCATGGTCTCCTCTAGTCTAGCCTTTTCTCTGGCTCAGCTCAATGATGGCCCATCCAGCCCTTGCCCTGGCTTCTGAGGTCCCTTAGATCCATTTTCCCACATGAAGCTGCCATCTTCTTAATAACACCCCTGATGGGTGGTTATCAAATTTCTCAAATACTTTTAGGGGCAAGACGCAGCCATTTAGTCTATGAATATCTCAGCTATAAACATTTTCCTTATGTCAATTGAAAAGCATTTTCTATTTGGATTTGGAACATTATCAGATAGTCATTCTCAAAAGCATATACGTATGTTCAGACAAACAACACACTGCTTTTCAAATATTTTGCCAGGCTGATTCTGCTGGTGAGCTGGACTGATGGGTAGACCTGGTGGCTCCTAATAATGGTTAAGCAGTCACCCACTCACAGACAATGGGCATTTGACAAGAAAAAGAAAAAAAAACATAATTCAACAGAAAGAAAGAAATCTTGTGAATAAATGGGGTGGGGGAGAAAGGAAGTAGATGTAATAACATTATTTTTCAGAAAAGTAGTGTTTTAGTTATTTTTCTGATGTTTTACGTTGTATTTCTTTATAAACAGCAAAGCTGCTCTCTGTCACATTTCTAATCCCCTAGTCAACAACTGAAAAACAACTGGAGATGGTAGAAAAGAGAGGGGAAGAGAAAACGCAAACAGTGAAATCTGCAAAAGCTGGAACCTGTGTAAGGCGGAAACCTGTCAGAGGAGAAAACCTCAGGTATTTTCCACTAACAGAGAGCAACAGAAAAGGGGTAAGACTGTCAAAGGCAGAAAACTTGTGAGACCCAGAAAAAACAAGGCAATACCACTGAGTTCTGGCTCTCACAGGTTTCACTGTATGTGCTGATGCGTATCTGGATGATGACAGCCTTGAAAACTCCTTGGAGCAAGTTCTATTCTGCACACTCGGGGCTGCCATGTTTTCATCTTGATGATCCTCCTCAGTTTCTTCCCTCTCCATCTTTACTGAGGGCTATTAGATATTCTCCCACCCAGAGAAGCTTCTAGCTCTTGAAAGGCCTGCAATACAGTTCGCTGTTTTCATACTGATCTTCTATGTATTACCTTATGAGTTTTTCAAAAGCTTCCTTTTCTTTCCGCAGAGCAGTGAGATAGCGTTGCTCTTCAGTTGAACCTCCGTATATGAGAAAATAAACCCTGCAAGTTAAGACAGAACACTTTTAGGCTGCAGAAACATAACCTTTAATCTCTGAAAGGAACAGCATAGCATTTGAAATCAGCAACCGAGAGTGCTTGAATAATAAATATTTGACTAAGAATAAAAGGTTCTATTAATCACACACTTAACTAAAACTAAGCTGCCTACCCCACCTGTTAAAGGTCTCCTTACCACATTTTTTTTTCTTTTGCCAAAAGGAGAGACAGAGTTATGTAAACACTGAAATATAACTAGAGGGATAGAGTAATTCTTTCCTTATAACTATAAACTAATAAAAAAAATACAGAATCGTAGCGGCTTCTCCTTTTTCAATTTTTTCTTTGTACTTCTGCCAAACGATCGTTTAAAAAGTTGGACAGTAGTTATAAAAACCAGTTTAGGAAAGTTCATGTTAGTGAAAAATAAGTGAAATCTATATGACCTTTACCTTCACAAATAATTTCTCAGTTCTTTTTTATTCATGTCTTAACAGAACAGTCATCACACATTTTATATAAACACACGGGCATATGGACTGTGTCAGACTTCTAGAAAATTAACTGATATAGTCTTTTCTCTTAGAAAAGGCCTGCTTTTCTACCTTGTTTGTGGCTAAGAGAGCTGAATGAAGCAGCTCCTCTGTCACTTTCTTCACCTTCTATCAAAGGTATTTTCCTCTTTTAGTCCTCAATTCTGCTTTTAACCGTCACCTTCCTAGATTATACAGTGAAATCTGTGAGAGCCGGAACTCAACGGCGTTGCCTTGTTTTTCCGGGTCTCGCAAGTTTTCCGCCTTTGAGAGAGTGCAGTCTTAACACTTTTCTATTGCTTGTTTTAGTGGAAAATATTTGAGTGTTCCTTCTCTGACAGGTGTCTGCCTTACATAGGTTCTGGCTTTCGCAGGTTTTACTGTATTTCTCTGAAGTGTGGACAAGCAGACAGACCAGTGCACAACAATAATCAAGAGAGCTCTCCCACAACTGTGCCGAGTGAGCAAGGGCAAGTCATTTACCATTTCTGGGCCTCAGTTTCCCACTGAAAGAGTGCCAGACTATACTCCCAGGTCCCTTCTGATTCTGATATTTTGTTTCCAAATATCACACTATTCTGTTCTCAGGCCACGGAGAACTTTGCAGCACACAAGCTATCTGCAAAGCTGATCAACAGCTAAGCATGAAAAATTTACCAGCCTATTTTACCAGGTTCATCTAATCTCTTCATCCTGCGTTACTTCTGGTCCACCTCCTCCATTCAATTCTGCTCTGAAAGGCTGCATTAGTTAAACTGCTAGAAAGGTTTCTTTTGGCTCTGTTTTTTGGTTCAGAGTGAGTTCAGGATATTAATTTTGTGTTTATTTCCCCTCAGATAATTAGAGAGTCAGAACACTATATTCTTCAGGAAGCATCATTTTCTTATCTGATATTTCTGTGGATTTCTCATCTGGTATTTCTTGAAGCCTGAAAAAAACTTGGTACAATAATTCCCCAAATACTTCAGTTTTATCTGCAAGTAATTTACAGTCGCTTCTTAAAATTGATAAGAAAGAATTTTAGAAGACTGAAATTATTTAGCCAGGTCATAGTTGTATTAACTTCCAGGAGAACTCAGAATATTATAAATTTCCTAGACTCGTTCAGATACAGCATCCCATAAGCTGCAAACCAACTATAAGGAATATGGCGCACAACAATGGGCCACGAGTGCCCACCGCTGCCGTTGGGCTGATTCCGACTCATAGTGACCCTGGAGGACAGAGCAGAACTGCCCCATAGGGTTTCCAAGGCTGTAAATCTTTACGGAAGCTGACTGCCACGTCTTTCTCCAGAGGCTGGTGGTTCTGAACCACTGAGCTCTCGGTTAGCAGCCGAACGCTTTAACCACTGCGCCACCAGGCTCCTTCTATATTTGTTGTTCTGCCACATACAATATTTGACATCCTACCTATGCAAACTTCCCAGATTCACCAGGAAGCAAAGTAAGTTTTCCTGAAACTTAATCAGTATCACAGCAACAGAATGTTAAAGATAAGAAAACCCAATATGCAACTGATAGAGTTTCTATGTTAAAGCCTACAGAACCGTGAAAGTGAAACCTTTGTTAAGAAGCAGTCGATCTTCTTTATAACTTGCCTCAGAGGTTTCCCGGGCCTGCCTGCCCTATAAATTTCAAGCTGACGAACAAATGTTAGCTCAGCATCATACAATACGACATATCTTGGCTCCACTTCATGGAGTACCCTTGTTAGGGCATAGGGGTCACTACAACCTAGGAGCGGGTGGATGATAGTGAGGGGTTCTTTCAGGATTCCATAAGCAGCATCGGATGACAAGTTTAAATCAAATTCTTCGTGCTTGATTCCTTCGAAGTCGATTTCTTGGCTACTGCTTATTTCTCTAGGATAGCCTTCCTCCACCTGCTCTTCGCCTTTATGTTCTTCAGAGTTCCCCATCATTTGAGTTAAAGTCAACCTTCGTTTTTTCCTCTTGAGAGTCCTTTCTTTGGTAGAAGCTTTTTCTTTGTTTTGGGGGTCTTTGGGTCTTTTGTTAGATTTCATAATTCTCTTTGAATTGTCCTCCTTTCTAAATTTCATCCACACTTCTTCGGCTTTGCTATCCTTCTCAAAGGTTTTCCTGTAGAGTCTCAGTAAGAAGGCCTCTGCTCCGGTAGTGATGTACTCTCTCAGCTGGGAACACGTTCGGTCATCACTTGCACAAATGAGTACTTGACCTAAAGTTAGAAAACAAGGTTATATGACTACTACCTCATTTACCTCCCTACTCCTCACATGTCCCTCGACCCTCCCCACAAAGGAAGACACATTATCCCTTAAAGAATTTACAAATTGTTTAAAGTAGTCTTAGGACTATAAATAGTCTTAGTCCTATAAGCTTAGGAGCTTATCAAACACTTTCACCTTTCTGGCAGAGTTATTTAATCTTTTGAGTAAAGTTAAAGCCAGAAATATTTCGAGTCTTAGGCAAGTATAGCCACGGTATAATGGAGGTTTTCAAAAAGCTCTTTTTGATTAATAATTTTCCAGAGGATCATATACACCAAAATAAATTCCAAATGGATTACGGAGTCAAATGTTAAATATTAAATCATTAAAAAAAAGTAACTATTCTCCATCTCTCTGAATGTAAATTATTTTATAAGGTTAAAAGCAATGAAAAGCTCAGCAAAGACTGACAGATTTGAGTCTATGAGAATAAAAACTGTGCACTAAAAAAGCCAAAAACAAAATACAAGTTTATGTAACAACTATGACAAATGTTAATATCTTTAATATATAAAGAGCTGATATAAACTGAGGACAAAGGCTAAAATGGTGAAGGAGAATAAGATAATTCATAAAAGAGGAAATGCACTTGAGAAAACATCCAGCCTCACCACACATCAAAATTAAAACAAGATCCCATTTTTTCTCCTATCAAATTAATTGTTATATATGTGGGTGTATGCTTTGTCTTTTTCTATTGTTTCATATAGATTTATGCTTATTAATACAATTTTAAAAACATGCAATTTTATGATTGTAAAAAGATATCAAAACAGCTGTTCATTGACATTTAAAAGAGACAACAATTATTCATTTAATACTGCAGAGTCAACACAAAAATAATTATCCTGAGAATCAGCCAATCTTCTCATCTTTTTCATAAGCATACTCTCTGCCTCAGAATGTAATTTTCTACTTCAATATTTGTTTAAATGAGTTTGTGTGTATTTTAATTTTCATCAAAGGTATAGCTGCACATAGTTTACAGTCAAATAATTCTATATGGCTTGTGATGAAAAAGATGTCTTTTATTTTTTAGATTAATAGCTGAGGTATAGTGTACTGTGTTAATCTACCAGCATACCCATGTTTAAACAGAAGAGCCCTAAAATTTGGACCTTTTCTGCAGGGCTAGGGCAATGTCACTCCACAGAAGAGTTTAGACTTCTTGGAAAGATCTTGTTGAGAATATAAAACAGAAGACCCATTAGCTTCCTCTTCAGGGATTCTAGATTTAAAGGCTGGTGAATATATATATGGAGATAAGCTGAATCTTTAAATAGAAGCCCTGAGAAGTCAATCAGTAAAAAACTCCTTTTTCATGAATATACAATGGCTCCACCAGGAAACAATGACATCAAATGAACGGTAAGGAGGCTGCCACTGGGACCTCAGTGCTCATTTGGTATTTCTTCTTCTACATTTATAACAACATGTGGAGTTATTTTTAAAGAGCTAGTCAAAAAGATTCATTGGGTAGGTTCTGAAAGCAAATATCAGTATCTCCTTTTTTCCTACCTGGACCACCAAGGGCTTCACTCTCCTTATTTTCTGCCTCAATTTCTTTCAGTACCTCAGTTAGGGCTTCCCACTTAGGGTTGCTTTCTAGAACCAGTTCCTTTTTTGTTTCTGTATAGAAATAAGAGATAATCTCATTGTATATGATAAATCTATCTGAAAACTATTCCAATGGCTTTTTTTAAAAAACAACAGATAGCACAAGCATCATTCCGTAAACCCATTCCATCGAGCATTCTTCATAATGCTAGAGAGAATCGTCTTCCCTGAAAAAGGCCTACTTATGGTCTTAATGAAAGAAAAAATATTAACTAGTTTAGGTTTTATAATGCCTTGATAGAAAGTTGCTAAGACATTATGCCTGGTCACTAATATGATGATTCTGCATTAGCTGTCAACGGTTACCCCAAATATATAGACTGCTACATAAAATAATCAGTACAGAATAACAGTATTGATTTCTAAACTCCACACGCTTTCATTCTTAACCTAGATAGAAGTAGACAACAATCAAATTTCTATTTCTATAAGTACTCAAATACTTCATTAATATGTCTGTTTTGAAATAGATCTTTGAACTAGGCAGGAAGTAAGAATTAGCCTTATCTGATGTCTTTACAAACGAGTGACGTTTATAATGCCTACTAGATGGGTGTTGAAATACAATCCACATTTGCTTCATTCTAATATAATTTTTATATAAAAGTTAAAAGGGACATTAAAAAGCTTCACTAAGACTTTAGGCGCCAACGATAGTAATTATTTTGAAGTCTAAAAAAAAAAATCAATCTATAGTTGTTATGCAGCAGTAAGAACACTCCTGACTGGTACTTGTATTCATTATTTGGAATTCCCTAGCAACGGATTCCAAGACCTGGCATGCTGAATACTTTTAACATACACTACATATGTTACATGAAACACAAATACATGCATTTTATATACAGGCATACAATTTTTTTACATGGTTGAAGGAGATTTTAAATTACACTTTTACTTGATGAGCATTTTTATAACAAATACTTAAACAAAAGGCATGATTAAAAACTTCAGCCTCCAAGATACCTTGCTCTTCTTTAATCTCCATTTTCTCAGACATTTTACTTTTTGTACTCATTTTGGCATCTGGAACATGATAAACCCTTGCTCGAGCATTTACAAACATTGAGGTACTAGACTCAAGAAACAGCCAACCTAATATGAAAAGGAAGAAAAAGAAAACCTTTAATTTACAATTAATTTTAATCTCTGATGATCACATGACTTACATATACAACTGACCGCCATCTTATTTTCCTACCAACCACATCATTCCCTCACTATTGTGGCCCCTTTCACTGTTGGGCTAGACCAGTGGTTTTCAAAGTGTGGTCCACAGACCCCAGGGGGTCCCCAAGACTTTTTTAGGAGGTCTTCAATCAAAACTATTTTCATAACAATATGAAGACACTCTTTGCCTGTTTTCACTATGCTGACATATCTGATGACGGTACAAAAACAATAGCGGTTAACGCTGTTGGTGCCGCAGCACAAATCTAGACAGTGGCACCAAACTGTACTAGCAGTCAATGTATTCTTCACTGCTGCGTATCTGTAGTTTAAAGTACGGCAGTTTCACTTAAGAATGTCTCTGATGAAGCAGTAAAAATGATTAACTGTACTAAATCTTCAACCTTGAGTATGTATCTTTTTCATATTTGTTGTGATGAAATGGGACGTGTACACAAGGCACTTCTGCATACCAAAGTGCAACGACTCGAGGAAGAGCACTGGTGTGACTGAGTTGTGCTGAACTAGTCACTTTTTTCATGGAGCACCATTTTTACTTGAAAGAACAAATGAAAAAAAAACCATGGTCATTCAGACTTGGGTATTCAGAAGATATTGTCCTGAAAATGAATAAATTGAGCATTTCACTTCAAGGAAAACAACAGACAGTATTTGTTGTCAAACGATGAAAATCTAGCTTTCGAGGAAAATTGTGAATTTTGGAAAGTTTGTATCTGCCACTGTGAGCTTGGCAGCATCCCAATATTTAAAGACTTTTCTGATAAGATCAGTGATGACATTAGCTCACGTGATTTTTTGATATTTGTAACGAAGCGTGTCAACATCTGGAGAATCTGCATAACTCTGTGAACCAATATCTTTCCAAATGATGAATGCATGATGTTACAAAATCATGTAAGAGTAAAAGGTATATTTGCTTTACAAGATAGCCTATTGGATTTTAATATAATAAAATAGGAAAAGTTCACTGATACGCTTTCAGATTCCACGTTGCAACTAATCTGTAAGAAACTTGTCAAGGTTTGGTGTAGTATCGAAGAATATCCACAATTATTTGAAAAGGTTACTAAAATACTCCCTTCTTTCCTAACCACATATGTGTACCAGGTCAGATTGTTTTTAAATCTTCAACCAAAATAATGTATCACAATCAACTGAATGCTGAAGCAGATATGAGAATCCAACTGTCTTCTATTAAGCTAGACATTAAAAACTTTTGCAAAAAAGTAAAACAATGCTGCTCTTCTCAACAATTTTTGTTTTGGTAAATATATTTCTCATAAAAATGTTATTTTTTTTACATTATATAATAGGTTTATTACTGCTTTTTAAAAAGTCTCAGTTTTATTTCCTAATATGATAAATATCAATGCATATAATTCACACAAGCAAAGCCCTTTGGGCCCTCAATAATTTTCAGAATGTGAACGGAACACAAAGGTTGAGAACCATTAGGCTCAACTAGCCTTTCTCACTATGATTTCCCCAGAAATCTCTTCTTTAGTCCTTGAGATTCTAGCTGTGAAGTCCCATATTTCATTGCTGTTTCTCTGGGAAAAATGAATTTTAGGTTAACAACTAAACTCCCAGAATGCAACCTATTCCTAAGTTGGGGACTGTCTGTACTACACAGTTTTTTCTAGAAATAAAATTGCTGGGAATGGATATGAATATTCATTATTACACAGAACAGAAGTTAAGTAGGCGGATACATTAGCTATCAATAAAACCTACGTCCTTGTGCTATGAACATAAAACATAATTTGAAGTCTTAGTACAACATGTAGTTGAATATAGCCTTCCTCACACCGGATTCCCCAACAAAATCCAACACTTTCTTCAAATCAGCTCCTAGAATAATATTTGTATTTTTATCTCCCACCTGAATTCTGACCAAAAGCCTTCTCAGTTGCTCTCAAAGATTCCAGAAGATTAAGAAATGTGACACAATCATACTGAGAAAGATATTGCAGCAAAGTTCGTAATATTTTCAAGTCCTGAACCAAGGATTTAGTTTTGGCTCCAAGTTGGTGCCACAAAGGATCCAAGTAGTGGCGGATTGTCTAAAACAAGAATAAAATTTAGTACTGCTAAGGTATATTCAATATAGCTATTTTTAATATAAATGACACTTCCAAAAACCATTATCCCTCAAGAAAGTGGATAGAAAACTTCAGTTAATAAGATCCTAATAAAAATGTTTACTTTTTCAAATGTAAAGCAGAGAATCGTACTGCTGGAATGTTTTTTGATCAGATAGAGTCAATTCATAATTATCCATATTTATATTATTATTTGGGAGAGAAAAGGCCTGATAAACATCAGATAATCAAATACCTGTTTTTTATGAAAAGAATCAACAGCTTGTAGCTCAGATACATTCAATTCCTGCCAGGTTTGGCTCTGACTCTGTCCTGGCTGGATAAAAATGCGGGATCCATCGGGAGCATGGAGCAGTGGACATAAACTAGACAAACACCATGGTGGCAAATTAAATAAAAATGGTGTTAAAAGATTTGTTTAGTTTTTTTTTTTTTTAAAGTGTGCTTCATAGGTGGGAAAATATTTGTTAGACTAAAAATTGACCAAGTTTCAATATTTTTAAGACCCTAAAAAAGTGCCTAAAACAAGTATAGCTTTATGTGTATACTATGTCATTACTGTTAGCTGTCGCTGAGTTGATTCCAACTAATGGTGACCCCATATGTGCAGAGTAGCACTGTGATCCACAGGGTTTTCAAGGCTGTGACCTTTCGGAAGCAGGTCACCATGCCTGTCTTCCAAGGCACCTCTGGGTGAGTATGAACCTCCAACCTTTTGGCTAGTAGTTAAGCCCATAATTGTTTGCGCCACCCAGGGATTCCTATAACTATGTAGGTATTTACACATGCATAGCTACATATATGCATGGGTGCTGAATACACACTCAAATTTATACAAACTGATTCTGTAAGTGAAAAGGATACTTGTAGCATGATATGAAAAGCAGCAACATTATGTGGTTTCTCATCCAACAAATTTAATAAAATTTACTACTGAGCAGGAGTTAATATTTGGATGGCTGTGTAATTTACTGTCCAAACTGGACACTTGTGAAGATGAAAGGAGACACTGTTTAATAATTACTCCAGGACAAAAGGCAAATACTGGGGCTGTCCTGGACAAACTGGAACATATAACTACGTGCCTTTTTGGTAAAATCATCTACAAAAGGTTATGCTTTCTAACAAGATGCAAGTTATGTCCACGTTTAGTTGCTTACTAAGAGAATACTTAAAACAATATTTTGACTTTTACTAGCTAGGGGATGATAAACAGCAATTCAGTGTAAAATACATTAGGCTATATTTTGTTCTTCTGGGAACATAGTCATTTTATTAAAAGAATGTGAGGTTTTTTTGTTTTTTGTTTTTTTTTGGTATCACCAGGTACTAAACTATAATAAACTTTAAGTGTAGAGGAACAGAATACATGAAATTAGTTTTTTCTATCAATATTTCATAGTAAACTGACTTTCTGGAAGAAATCAATACCCTGAATGAAAGAAATGAGGAGTTATAATTTTCCTTTTTTTAATCACTATGACTTATTTCCAGTGACAAAGACACTACTTTGAGTTTCCAAGACAGGAATTATACTACAAAAATATGGAAAAAAAAAAAAAAAAAAGCAGCCCGGAATTTTTAAAAAATCAGCATTTTCTGATCTACAATTAAATTTTTTTACGTATCTGTATTAATATTAATCTATGATGAAAAAAATATCAGTGAGAATGAAACCCCCTTGAACTAAATACCATTTTCTTAATTCATACAGTAATTTTACGACAGAGCTAGTTTCACATTCCTCAGTAATGAGAACTCATCCAAATTATTTTTATTCCAAAAAATAGATCATAAATTAATACGCAATTATAGCATATTCTTATGTAAAAACTCTTCTACCTGTAGTTATTCAAATGTTGTCATTTCAGAGCAAAAAGGTTATTTATCCTCCCTCTCAATCATACTTAATCACTTAGTGTATTATTGAAAAAGCACAGTTAATGCTTATACGCCAATCCACACATTTTACTAAAAATTACTTTCTAGTAAACCAAAGAAGCTATACTTTAAATAACTTCCAACTCAATTAAAAAATAGCAAATTTTTATTAAGAACAGTTCAAATACTAAAATAACTTGCACTCTTTAAGATTACAACATAACAAACTGTGCTTAAAGCGGAAAAGGAAAAGAGTACCTTGTCAAAAGGTTTTCCAATAGCATTTTCTAAAGATAAATCTTCTACTTCAAGTGATGGATTATGGCATTTCAGTTCCTTAAGACACGCATTTAAAATGTCCAGTATCGCGGTCTGTATAGTCAGCATTGCAGGTGTCATAGAAACGTGAATTTCTACGACCTCAGGTTTGTGCTGTTCTAAAAATGAGTTTACTGCTACATGGAACCTAAAGAAACAAATATTTTTCTAATATTTTCTACAGTTTCTACAGTTACGTACTTCTGGTCTCAATTTAATACTCTAATCGTTTTTGTAAATGCAATTACAAAACAAACAAAACGGAAAGCAAAGTGACAATCTCTCCGAGAATACTTTTAACTTTAACGAACAGAAGTATTACTCAACTGAGGCAGGCGTCACAAACTATGGTCTCAGCCAAATCTAGCTGCTGTTTTTATAAACAGTGTTACTGGAACACAGCCAAGCCCGTTCGTTATTGTATTGTCTATGTCTGCTTTCACGCTCCAACAGCAAAACTGAGCAGCTGCGACTGTCCTCGTGGCCTGTAAAGCCCAAAATATTTACTATCTGGCCCTTTACAGAAAAAGTTTGCTGACCCCTGAAATAAGGTATAATCAAGAAAGGAAAAAGACTACAGCAACTATCCTTAAATAACATAATCAAAATACATATTAGCTTAAGTTGCAAAAATGTTTGAAAAATGAAATCTTGTTTCTCCTAGAGCGCTACATAAATTCCTCAGTCTTCATGCTTTCCTCCCCCCATGGGTAATTCTCACAGTGGAAGTGGGAGTCTTAGCCAGTAAATCTGCAGTTCACCTAAAGCTGTTGGATATGTGGGTCTCTAGGTCCCTGAGGATTACACTAAATGTACAAAAAATAAAGTGACTGCCTTGGATAAATGTGACGGGCTACCAGAAAATAGCTGTCAGACCTCTCTCTGCTTTCAAAAAAAAAAAAATCACAAATATGGTGATCATGTATTTATATTTGGAAGTGCCTGTTAGAACCTGACTAGCCTCTATCAAATGTAAAACTAAATTACCATGAAACTTCAGTAGATGCTTTCATAGAAGTTAGTCAAATAATGCTATTTACTATTTACCTTGGCCACAGATATAACTTCCTTACAAAAAGATTTCTCATCACTCTTTCCACGTGACAAAAGCCAGTATCAAAGGCAACCGCGTTGTCTGTGAAAGCTTTAATAAAACCACGTTTGTTTTTCTGGCGAAAGAGGCGCAAGATGAATGCTTCTTGACAAGACTCAATTATTCTGTGAGCTCTATAAACCAAGATACCTGAGGGGGAAAGTTATAAATTAAATTACAGAACAGACATGTAATTTTCATGCTCACTTTCCTTCTTTCATCCATCCATCCATTCTATCAACAATCCATTCAACCAACCAACCAACCAACTCACTTTTCTTAAGTGGCTACCTGAGTGTGGCCAGGCACAGTTCTAGGCTGGGTATACAGCCATGTATGAAAAAGACACAAATCCCTGCCCTCATGGAACTTACAATAAACATTTAGTACGTTAGAAGGTAGTTTTAAGTGCTAAGGAGAAAAAATGAATCACAGGAGGGAATACGTATGAGGGTTGGTAGTTTGCAATTCTAAAGAGGGTAGCCTCATCGAGACGATATGTGAGTAAAGGCTTGATAAACACCTGGACATAGAGAGTTCCAGACTGAGAGATCAGTAAGAAAAAAGGCCGTTGGGGGGAAGGGGGCTGTCTAGCATGTTGAAGGAAGAGTATCTGAAAGTGAAGTGGGTCACTAATTCTTTTCTTATACATGCATTAGATGTAGATGACTGAAAACAGTGGCATTTTAGAAGTATGGGCAACATCTGTGTCATGTATTAGATTAATTCAGTTTTCAGAATCAGTATACTCAATGGAGCGGTATATTAGTCCATTTAAAATAAAAACCCTTAATGAATATATTTAATATATCTCTTTTGGGGAGAATAATGATACCTCTGAATCACACACAAAAAGGACAACTATAAATAAGCTTCTTTATTTATAAAATGAGAATACTGGACTAGATGATCTTTCACACACTCAATAAACTTTCACCAAGTGTTTACTGTTTGTCCTGTCTGTAAACAAAACATGGCTTCTGCTTGGAAAGAGCTAACAGTCTAGGGAGAGATACAGATATGTATACATTCTGATACAGTGTGACCAGTGATAAGTTACCATAAGGGTGCACAGACCTCATGTCTGGATCAAAAATTCAATTATTCTAAGATAACAATTCTCAAACCTTTAGACTTAAGTCAGTTACCTTATATGTATTTGCTACAAATATACTTGCAAATTTTCTCTCCAGTTCTCCTTACTCTTAGGGTCTGAAAAATGATTATTGTGATTTTATGATCCCTTCTAGTAGTTCAAGAGAGCCCTGGTGGCCCGGTGGGTAAGAGCTTGACTGCTAACCAAATGGTCAGCAGTTTGAATCTACCAGCTGCTCCTTGGAAACCCTGTGGGGCAGTTCTACTCTGTCTTATAGGACCGCTATGAGTCGGAATCAACTTGATGGCAATTTTTTTTTTCTTTTTTTTTTTTAATAGTTCAATAAACATTAATTCAGATTTTACTAATTTGGTGTTTATATTCAGATTGAGGTGGATGGAGCTCAAATGTACTCCAGCTAAGCAAACTATTCTTCAATTACGGTAAAAAATTAAATTTAAGAATTTGTAGAAGAAGAATTTTCAACAACCTACAATACACACACACAACAAATTTACTACTCAGGAAATATTGTTTACCTAGTAGGTGGGTTTTCCAAGGACTCTACTGGGCCACACTTTGTTAGCCTGGATTGAAATCTTACCTAAAGTTAAAAATAATAAAAATAGGTGTCTAAAAAAAAAAAATGAACCTCAAATTAAGAAAATGTGCTCCAAAAGGTTAAGTCATTTTTTTTTGGAACCCAGAAGAAGGAAGGAGAGAGCTAATACTCTATTCCAAGCACTGGGTTAGATTCTTTTATACATTTCACTTCATTTCGTCCTTATAGTAATTTTTTGGGGTAGGTATTATGACTCAAACATACCAACAATCGTGAAGATGGCACAGGACCGGGCAACGTTTTGTTCTGTTATACATAAGGTCACTATGAGTCAGAGCAGACTCAACAGCAACTTACAACTTTATTATGAGGCAAGAAAGGGGAAACTTGACCAAGGTCATCCAGCGAGCAAATGGGAAACCAGATTCCAAATCATGTCTGCCTGAATCCAAAGCCACGTTCTTCCTATTAAGAGACACCACCTCAAGAACCCACTTTTAAAAAATAAATAAAAACAATATAAGCAGATTAGGTTTTGGGGAGCAGTCTGGTCCCACAGAAGCCTACTTCAAGTTTTATGCTTCCACAGCATTTTGTATCTCATTGTGATCCAGAGGGTTTTCACTGGCAGATTTTTTAGAAGTGTATCACCAGGTTTTTCTCTCTAGTCTGTCCTAGTCCAGAAGCTCTGCTGAAATTTGTTCAGCATCATTACAACTGACAGACAGGTGGCGTCTGCACGAGGTGCACTGGCTGGGAATCCAACCCCGATCTCCCACACGGACGGTGAAAATTCTACCACTGAGCCACCAATGCCTTTTTCGGCATCTTATAGTGTACTGTGTAATTATTTCTTTACACATCTGTCTTCTCTACTAACTGCTTGAAGACAAGAACGTCCTTAGAACAAGTAGTAATTAGAGAATACTTACTCTGTACCACATACGATGCTAAGTATTTTATATACATTATCTCATTTCACCCTCACAATAATCCTAAGAAGAAGGTACTGTTACTATCTCCAATTTACAAAATAAGTAAACTGAGGCACAGAGAAATTACGTAACTTGCCCAAGGTCACAGAGCTGGTACAGGGTGAAGGTAAGCTCATACCCAGGAAGGCTCTAATTTAAGAGTTCACCATACTATCTTTTTCATCTATCTTCAGCGCCTAGCACATTCCTGCCAAACAATCCTTAGCAATTGTTCACTGAATGAATATAGAGCTGAATTATAGCACTGGGTACACAAATTTAACATACAACTTTTTTTTTTTCTTTTTTCTTCCATTTACAGGAAACTGTGTTGAGTTGTACCTGGAGATGCTGGGGTCAGTTTTGGCAATGAGAGCATCTACCTCTTCCGTTCTTTAGAAGGCATATTCTGGGTAGATAATTACACTAGTTAGCAGTTCTGATTGGCATAGACACCAGAGGTAGGGTGTGGTGGTGGTAATACTTAGGTGGTGATAGGGGAACAAGTTAAGGCCACGGGGGTCAGTAGTTTCCAGAGGGTTACATGCTTCAGGGCTGCTCTTTAATCTGTAAGAGCTTTGGTGAGAGAAACATGATCCCAGGGGATGGGGAATTTGAAGGAATTCACTGTTGGCATTTGTTTGCACTGTACTCATCCAAGTAGCGGCAGCAGCAGCTCCAGCTACATTACTGGTTTGGACTCTATTAGAAATGGGGAGGGAATTTTACAGTTTTAATTAGGGAACTACCTATAAGCTATACTTCAACGTTTCATTAATTCAGATTGCTCTCTGCCTAATTTTAATAAGGTTGAACTGTAACTGAAAGTCACAGAGTAATACTGACATCTAGTGGTAGTTTCAATACAATTACTTTTTTCATTTTATCAACTTAAGAAACAAAATTAAGCTTTTAAGAAGGCAACAAACAGCAAAAGAAAGATTTTAAGTTGTCTTAAGATTATTTATTCTAAAAGCCCAATACTTTTTATTTTTGCTATCACTTATTAAATATTTACTATGTACCAGGCCCTATGCTAAGCAATTTATTTTATCTCGCTCCATCTTTATAATAACTCTTTGAAGTACCTTCTCCTTGATGTAAGAAATGAGAAAGAGGCTCATGAAAATCAAGTACCTTGCTCGTAAGCAGTGGAATTAGCATTCAAAGTCAGGTGAGCCTGACAGCAAGGCCCATGCCAGTTTATAACAGTTATAAGAGTATAACAAAACTTCCCTTCAATCAGCTGACCATGAACCATATAAAGCATTAATTTGTACATTTATTCATTAAATATTTCACGAGGGTCTTCTAGGTTCAGGGCAATATGTTAGATATAGTGGGAGATAAGATTATAAATTTCAATGGGCCACTAATCGAAAGGTTGGAAATCAAAGTCCACTCAGAGGTGCCTCAGAAGAAAGGCCTGGTGATCTACTTCTGAAAAATCAGCCACTGAAAATCCTGTGGAACAGAGTTCTACTCTGACACACATGGGGTCGCCACATGTTAGGGCAACTTGATGGCAAGTGGTACTGGTACTGCTTACTTAGCCTGGGATAATAAGTCCCTTCTTATGTTTAAGAAGCTTGTTAGCTAGTGAGCTAAACAGGCAAATATAATGTAGTGTTATGAGTACTATGATTGCGGAGGATGACAGGGTATTTTGGGGCAGAGACAGGGCCCCTAAATTTGCTCTGGGAAAATCAGAAAAGGTTTCCTAAAGGATGAATAATAATGAAAATCAATTCCTTATCTACAGTAGTTCTAGCTAAAATTAAAACATTCTTCTCAAAGTAATTAAGCAACTACTTGGTTTAATTTCAAGTTATGGGGAAAATACTGTTTCAAGAGAAAAACCAAATATTTAAGAAAATATAGAAAGTATATTTATAAACATTTCAAATCTGGTTAGTTTCTAAAAGCAAATTCCAATTAAAAACCCGTAAAAACCAAAGCCATTGCCATGGAGTTGATTCTGACTCACAGTGACCCTACAGGACAGAGTAGAACTGCTCCATAGGGTTTCTAAGCTATAATCTTTACTGAGAGCCCTGACGGCACAGCTACCGTAAAGATTTCAGCCTAGGAAACCCTATGGGGCAGCTCTACTCTGTCCTACAGGGCCGGTATGAGTTGGAATCCACTGGACAGCAACTTCTTAAAACAAAAAAACTTTATGGAAGCAGACTGCCAGGTCTTTCTCTTGCAAAGTGGCTGGTGGGTTTGAACTGTCGACCTTTCGGTTAGCAGCCGAGCACGTGAACCAATTATTTTCTCCTTTGAACTTTTCGTTGATACCGTGTGTTTTCACTAATGGAAAGTATGCTGATTAAAGGACTAATTCAGAATTTTGGTTATGATTTATGGATTTTGATACCCATTATCTGGGATCATATGTGTCCCAGTGGACTCTGGACGAAGTAAATCCTACTGATACGGGTCGATGATAAAAATCTTTTTTTTATTTCTTAAAAATTTGCAAAACATGAGGAGAACACGAAGGCACTGGGCAATGACTGCACGTCCATTTTATTCCAGTCTCCTTCTTCTTAGCTTTTTTTATTATTTTTCATGAAACTTTTCAAAATATTGTACAATGCATTCTTCCTTACTGCAAAAGCAGTACTTACAGCCCAAATAAATAAAACCAAAGGAATTTGAATCTCAGAAAAATTATCACTACTGTGTATTCTTTGGAGCCCTGGTGGAGCAGTAGTTAAGAGCTAGGCTGTTCACCAAAAGGTTGGCAGTTGAAATTCACCAGTCCCTCCCTGGAAACCTACAGGGCAGTTCTACACTGTACTGTAGGGTTGCTATGAGTCGGAATCCACTCCACAGCAACAGGTTTGTTTCTTTTTGGTTTACGTACTCTTCATTATAACAAAAGCAGTACTAACAGCTAAGAAGCAGAAACAGCTGCCCTGGAATACTGCAGACCTGCTCACAGTGGTGCATTCCACCTGCTGCATGTGGAAGCAATGATTGGTCCCTAAGATTGAATGTGGGGTAAGAACAACTTACAGGAGTTTCAGCTTCTTGAAAAGTACCACTGAAAGGCATTATTCCTTATTGCAAAGGCATTACTTACTGTTCGGGAGCTAGAAAAGAGTCGTGAAAGACTGCAGAGCAAAGACTCAAAGCAGAGCAGGGAGCCAGTAACACCTGGAAACAGTGAATGGCATCAGGGAGAAAATGGCCACTATGACTGAATGAAACCCCGCTGCCATCGAGTCGATTCTGGGTTGCTATGAGTCAGAATCAACTCAACAGCAAGAGGTTTAGTTTTGGTATGACTGAACGAAGACTTCAAAAAAAAAAAAAAAAAAAAA